GAGGTCTAATGTTTAGGATTCAAACACACCTCTCATTTGCCTTTTTTATCTTCTTAAGGCATTTGTATCTTCTCTCTTTAGTATTATTTTACTTGTAATTTTGGAGTGAAATAAAATATTGATTGTGTCCGAGGAAGTAGGCAAAATTGGCCGAACCTCGTAAATTCTGATGTTCTTTTATTGTTGTCTTATTGTCTTGTTTATTATTTAGTGGTTGTCATAATTTTTGGTATAGTAGTTGTGACTCATTCACACTATATACATTTGACTTCCGCAACACTGCATACATTGTCAAAAATATGATCCTTTCATCGCCTGATCCTATGGATGAGGACTGCGTACCATTGGTTATTTACGGGCCCCACCAGCGACTCGTATTCTGCAGGAGGCTTGCCATAGCTGAAGCCAATCCGTGGACTGCACTCGATGGTCCCTTACACGAGTACACTCAAATTGTGCTCCATAGTGGAAAGAAACTATTTTTTGCTCTCACCCAAGATAAGGAGCTTGAAGCTAGGGATCTCCACAATGATCCAACTAAGAGGTTTCTCATTCGGATTGAAGATATAGGCTGCAGTGATGATTGGCCCTATTCTTCTGCGGATGAAACTGAGCTAGAGTGCAAGTCATGCTACTGTTGGGACACTGATTACTTGGTATATGACCACCAACGCCAGGAGCTTTTTATTGTTACACGCTACATAGCACATGGCATTGCCCAAGAGTCCTGAACTCTGATATTGCCTGTAGACAATGCTGAGCGTGAATATCCTTATAAGACTCAAACTTTTGATGTTTTCAAGCTTGATTTTATAGACCATGATCAAGTGGAGCTTCAATACTTGCAGGGTAACCTTGCCAATAGTGCATTCTTCATGGGCTCCAATCCCGGCTTTGCTCTCTCGACCACCATGTTCCCAGAATTAAGGCCCAATTCTATTTACTTTACAGATGATCTAACTTATGCTTACATATTTAGGGAGGAGCCTAATTGTGGAGGTCATGATTTGGGGATTTATGACTATAAAAAAGGAAGCTTTTTATGCTGTTACTACCCTGTCGATGTAGACAAGATGCAGGGGATTCTACCAGCTCCTATTTGGTTCACCCCTAATGTTGATGCAACATGCTTGGCCTCCACTTTAGGTCTCTAAACTTATTGTGGATCATATAGCATAGTGTAAGCAGCCTGATGTTGGCTCATTTTGTATTTCTTTTAAATTAAACTCTAGGTTTCTGATTATGTAGCTCCAACATCTAACTTGATGTCCGAAGCAATTTGATTTATAGCCAGTTTCTTTTCCAGTCCATCTTACATCTTTCTTGGTTATATTTCTGTTGTACCATCACCATCATCATCACAAATAGCTTCTCCTCTTATTCTACCATCTCCGCCAACAAATATTTCTCTTGTATCATCATCTCCTTTAACCACATGGCTATCTCTAATTTGTGGGGTTTGCAAACTACCTTTCTCTATTTTAAGGACACCAATGTCTTAAGACTGTCACTACATCCAACCCTTTATTTAGGCTATCTATTATCATGTCTCTTTATCTAGTAAAATAATAAAATTTTAGATGTAAGCCTCCCTCTTTTTAGCCTCTGTAGGGTAAAGAAAAGGGCGCACCACTTGGGAAGGGAACAAAAAGATTTATAAGCATAGATATTAAAGGCATGCTTGAAACATCCTATAGATGTTTAAAACACTTTCTATAAAATGTTTCAAGCATTTACATGATGTTTGAAAGATGTTTCAATCATCTTTGAAACATCCACCAGAATGAGCCGTACCGGATCATCTTTGATCTGAACTTGATCGGGCCTGTCATTTTCTACTTTTTCAAATAACCACCTCTTCATCCTCGGCAAGGTTCTCTCTTTTGGATAATCTTTTGGCCGTAATTGAGGTAAGGCTTCAAACGCCCAAAGCCTACATTGTGTGATCAAACAGTAAATAGAAGGTTATATAAATAACATAAAAGTAAAAATAATAAACAAGATTTATCTAGTTACCATGAAAGTCTAAGAAAATCCATAGAGGTTAATAAGAGTCACTCTTTGATTATTGACGCTCTTTCTTATCTTTCATAATATAATAAAAAGTCAAATGAAAAATATTTTAGCTCCATGGATAAATGTAGAAAGCCTCTTTTGTCGAGGCCAGTCTGACTGTATCTTCAGACACACCACAGTTCATATCCTTTGCCAACAAAATGCAGTGAACTAACCAAATCAAGCATAGTTCATATTTATGTTTTTAATTTTTTTTGGATTTGGATTTGATTAAGTCAAACACTAGTTTATCAGTCAAAGATATCTTTCCTTTGGTATAAGTTTTCATAAATTTCCACCATCAAGAAAGTACTTTTATCTTCAAATTAGTATAAGAATGTCTACAGTTGAGTTCAGTCGTTATGGCAAACTCACAATGGTCGAAGCGGACTGGTAATCTTTTGTAATTAACCCATAAATCTTGGGTCTTCTCCCACAATACTCTACTGCAATATAGATGCCTTAAATAGTGTCTCCTGAGACAAATCTAAAAGTTCTTGAAAGGTCTAGTCCTAAACTTATTTTCGAGGCCCTCATCCTGCTACAACTTTCTGAACTTACCCATACCTGCTAATCCTAATGAGAATCTTACTATGATCTTCTTATTGAAGGTCTCATTATCATCCAAAAATATCTTGAACTTGAACGGTGGAAGTTCCGGCCAAAGCCTTAAGATTTCAACCTCGCAACTATCAAACTCATCTTTAGGCATCTCAATCTTTACATGATTTAAAAATGTTGATTAATAATAGGCACAAGAATAATGAATTTAATAATTATTAAAATCTCTTTCCAACTTTTTTTAGTGAAACATCCTATGAAATGTTTCAAATATCCACATAGATAATTTAAACATCCAACTAGATGTTTTAAACTTCCAGGGAGAATTTCAAACATCCAGAGAGATATTTCAAATATCCAGAGAGATGTTTTAACATATTGAGCTTACCTTAACAGATTGAGAAGGTGCATTGTCATTCTTTTTCTTTTTTCTTCTTTTTGTCTCTGCCTCTTTTTCTTCTTCTCTTGAAGCTTCTTCTTCTCTTAGTTTCAACATAAAATATTCATCTCCGGAGGTCTCCTCTTCTATTTCTTCTCCTTCAACAGTTACTATTTCCTCTTATGATTTTCATCATCAACATTTGTCTCCCCTTGTCTTTCTTATCCTTCAACGGCTGTTGTCTCCTCTTTTGATTTTTCATCATCAACTTCTGTCTCCTCTTCTATTTCATTCTCTATTTTCTTTTCTCCTTATCCTCTTCTTTTTCTCTCTCCTTATCCTCTTCTTTTTCTCTCTCCTTCTTTTTCTCTCTCCTTATCCTCTTCTTTTTCTCTCTCCTTATCCTCTTCTTTCCTCTTCTTTTTCTTTTTCATTATCTTTTTCTTTCTCTTTTTCCTCTTCTCCAGCATTCTCTCCTTTACTACTTCAGTAGCAGTGTCTCCTCCTACCTGATTATTCTATCCTCCTCCTATTACTACTACCGCCTGAAGAGGTGTAACTTCCACTTCAGCTACAATGAGAATTGATTGTTGTATCTCATTTTCCTATGATGTCCTAATTTTTTTGCTAGGTCTTTTAGAAGGAGAGCCACTTCTTCCTTTTAGCCATTTCTCCTCTCTTTGACACACGTTCCTTTGTCATTTTATCTACACACTCAAACAAGTAACAACCATCAACAAGTAAACAAATAATTTACTCCTAACATATAAAAAATTAACGCTATAAATAATCAGGTATTCTTTGGTGAAACGTCTTTTGGATTGTTAAACATCTTTACAGTTGTTTCAAACATCTTATATGCAGCTTCAAACATCTAATGAGATGTTTGAAACATCTCTGAAGATATTTTACAATCAATGAGTTGTTTACAAGAAGGATATTTCAACCATATTTAAGATGTTTCAAATACTCTAATGAGATGTTTGAAATATCAGCGCAAAATGCCACTAACCAAACTCAGAAAAATATTACAATAATTGCACAACATATAACAATAACAATAACAACATAAATATTTAACTATCTCTTAAGATGTTTCAAACATTCAAACGAGATGTTTGAAACAAATTGGCAAAAAATCGTTCCACAGACCCAAAAATAGAGCAATATAGTCATTTTAATATCACAACAACTAAATTTCTAGGTCTGTGGAACAACCACATCAACAACATAAAAGTACCAAATCTTCGGTCAAAAATATCAACTACACGACAACTCTAAAATTTAGGCACGAAAACTACACAACGACACGAAGATACAAAAATACCAAGAAAAATAAAAGAATCTATAGAAGTCGAAATAACAAGTTTAGGGCTCATCAATGGGGTAGAAAAATAAAAAAAATTACCTTGATGATGGAATTTAGAAAGTTTGAACGAAATTGAGTAGAAATAGAGCCGATTTTTGGAGCCCCAAATCGTGAAATAACTGATTTTGGAGGTTGAGTTTGAGGGAAAGGGGGAGAAAGATTCTGAAAAGTGAAGAAAGAGAAAATAGAGAATGGGATAGGTGGGGAACTATTTTGGGTGATGGGTTTACTTATTTTTTAGTTTTTTAAGTTTTACTCCAACATTTTCTTATTTTTAATTTGGCCCCCGAACACCCTTGATTTACCGGCCTTTCGTCGTTTGGATATAAGAATTGTGAAAATTCGGAAAATAATTAAACAAAAAAATTTTCAAGCGAAAACGATATTTAAAAAATATAGTAGTATTTGGACACGAATATAATTTGAATATATTTTTAAATTATTTTAAGTACCCGTTTTTTCATAATATTTTTTTTTCTTTTTTTTCTTTTTTTTTTCAAAAATATGTTTATTCATGAAATTTTGCAAGAGTTTTTCAAAAAGCCTTTTTCCAAATTTTCAAAAAATATTTCCCCACTCATAAAATTGCAATATTTTTTCAAGTTAAATGTATGTCCAAACATAATTTCAAATTCTAAATATTTTTTTAACTTATCTTTAAATACTATTTTTTCTAAAAAATTATAATTTTTATGTCCAAACGTATACTAAGTGATTTAAAGTGAAGATTTTAAAAAATAATTTTTTGAAAATTTTCAAATTTCTGAAAAATTCTAAAATTCAACTTGAAGTGAAACCACAAAAAGTAAATTTTCGAAAACAAAAATGGAATTCTTTTATGGTCAATCCGGCCCGGCCCTTAAACACATTTTTCCGTAAAAGTGAGAGCCGACAGAACAGAAGTGCTTGAGCTTAATCTTCCAGAAAGTAGAAACAAGCCGAAACCTAGCAGAACAGAAAAGCAAGCCGAAACCTAGCAAACTTTGGATTACTGTATTTAAAAGCAAACCAGTAGACCTTAGATTCTTGATCTATAAATACGTTTGGGAGGTTCTTGTGTCTTGCTCAAAGAATTCAATCATGGCTAGCTCTTCCTTGGTGGTCAGAACTTCTGTTCCAAAGGAAATAATGAGAGGGCAAATTAGTGAACTGATTGATGCCGACCATAATAGTTGTAGTGGTCCTGTGGTGAGCAGATGTGTGGCTCCTTGGTTGATGCTACTGCCGGAGTTTAAAGAGGACAGCACCGTCTTCAAATTCTACAGACCGGCAGAAGGGGATGTCATACAAGTACAACATGAGCAGCAAGTGATGATGCCTGATATTGATTCCGTTTGCTTGGGTTCATTATCCAAGGGATGGCTTGTTTGTATACAGCCTAAAGATTGTCTTCTCTTCATGTTTAACCCACTTTCTGGTAAGACTATCCAGCTTCCATCCATTGAAAGTTTCCCCTGTGTTAACGGCGTTATTCGGAACAGTGTCAGAGTCGAATGCTTTCTTAACCACCAATCTATTCCCTTAACCCCGCAACGTATGTCTTCATACATTGTCGAAAAGATGATCCTTTCATCCCCTGATCCTATGGATGAGGACTGCATAGCGTTGGTCATTTACGGGCCCCACCAGCGACTCGCATTTTGCAGGAGGCCTGGCATAGCTGAAGCCAATTCGTGGACTGCACTCGACGGTCCCTTACATGAGTACACTCAAATTGTGTTCCACAGTGGAAAGAAACTATTTTTTGCTCTCACCCAAGATAAGGAGCTTGAAGCTTGGGATCTCCACAATGATCCAACTAAGAGGTTTCTCATTCAGATTGAAGATATAGGCTGCAGTGATGATTGGCCCTGTTCTGCTGCGGATGATACTGAGCTAGAGTGCAAGTCATGCTACTGTTGGGACACTGATTACTTGGTATATGACCACCAAACCCAGGAGCTTTTTATTGTTACACGCTACATAGCACATGGCATTGCCCAAGATGGGACTCTGATATTGCCTGTGGACAACGCTGAGCGCGAATATCCCTACAAGACTCAAACTTTTGATGTTTTCAAGCTTGATTTTATAGACCATGATCATGTGGAGCTTCAATACTTGCCAAGCAGCCTTGGCAATCGTGCATTCTTCATTGGTTCCAATCCCGGCTTTGCTCTCTCGACCACCATGTTCCCGGAATTGAGGCCCAATTCTATTTACTTTACAGATGATCTAACCTATGCTTACATATTTAGGGAGGAGCCTAATTGTGGAGGTCATGATTTGGGGATTTATGACTGTAAAGAAGGAAGCTTTTTATCCTGTTACTACCCTGTCGATGTAGACAAGATACAGAGGATTCTACCAGCTCCTATTTGGTTCACCCCTGATGTTGATGCAACATGCTTGGCCTCCACTTTAGGTCTCTAAACTTATTGTGGATCATGTAGCATAGTGTAAGCAGCCTGATGTTGGCTTATTTTCTATTTCTTTTAAATTAAACTCTAGGTTTTTGTTTATGCTCCAACATATAACTTGATGTCCAAAGCAATTTGATTTCTAGCCAGTTTCTTTTCCAGTCCATCTTACTTCTTTCTCCTTTTCTTGATTGTTTATCCTAAATTAACTTAATCTGATGCTAGTCAATTTGCAAGGTTCATGTTTCTTTGGCATAGGTAACATCTATTACTGAATTGAAAAACCTCTCTTCATCAAATTATCTTGAGTTAAACAGACACCATTTACATCTATCCACCCAAAACAAGCTATGGAGCTCTTTCATTGTCCAGGTTAATAAAGATGGACCATGCCCTGTCCTGATGTATGATGTGAGTTGTAATATGGTAACAATCTTTTAGAGAACCAAACTAAGTAGCATGTAAGTACAAGGAGGGATCTATCTCCTGGAGGAGAAGTTTACTGAACTTTTGTTTCTTGACTCATAATGAAATGAGAGTCTGGAGCTTCCATTTTCTGGTAAACTTTGTAGAGCAATCCCAATGTCTGAAGGAGCCAGACATAAACCTGGCATTGTCCACCTACCTGCAACACCTTTCCCCCCTGATCCAACCTGAAACATGTAATCTAGAATTTCTTCGTTTACAAGCACACAGAGCTGTAAAAGCACATGCTGGAGTAGAGAGGACTTCTAGAATAGCATGGTTAGTTTCATGCACACATAGCCACCACACAAACTGCTTTAAATGCGCCTCCTGAGAGAATTTATGTACGTGTATGAGTTGTTTCAGTCTTTAAGGCAGAGAATATTTGAAGTTGTATAGCTGGTAATTCTGGTAAGGAAATGTCAAAATTTTTACCGTATTCAATGAAAGATTTTCTCTGTGATGCCTGATACTGTAGCTTGAGCATGTACATGATTAATCTTTGCTTTTGCTTTTCCAAATTAGAAAATGCATTGTTCGGAAGGATAAAATGGAAAGGAGATGAATGTCATCAAGGTCAAAACAACTTGTTTAGTTGTCTGACAATTTCCAATGCAGCAAGTAATTAAGGTTTGAGCATGACAGGAATCTCCTAATTGGAAGTACCTTAACATATTTGCCAATCCCTGCTTTCTTTTCAAATATTGCTCTCATTATTTCTGAGTCTTCTCCAATTCCTATAGGAATGTGGATTTCCTAGGCAATACCACTCTGCACATTTTCAAGTTAGGTGACCTTTACTCTAGAAGCTGAAGGATTCCTAGTGGCAGGATGGATAACAATCGAAGCTGGTTGAAGTGTGAAGAGATCTCTCCAACCAAATTTCACTTATAGATGAACTGTAGTGTTGTGGTTTTCAGGTCCTAAAGGTAACCATCTAATGAATGCAAACGAAATGTATGCATGTGTCTTACTTAGTAAGTCTCAGATCTTAGTTGCGTCATGGAATCCTTAATTATTGCACCATCTCTTATGTTTATGACATTGACTGCTTGTATAGTCTTGATTCTGATTAAGTGTCTAAACTCCTGTGCTATGAAAGAGAATGATCAGCTTTATACATAAGAACGCAAGCGCTTGCGATGACAGAGTCGCTTGCAATAGCATCATTAAGCAGAATTGGAGGCAGGTGTCGAGGCAAACGTATAATGGAGAATCTGTCATAGAAAGCTGCTACGAAAAATGAAGTTTTGTGTTAGCTTTTGAGCGACCTATTCTAGGTGTTCAGTGTGTTCATTCTTTGAGGTTTCCTCGTATTTGAATTTCTGGCAAAGAACTTGTTTGTATTCGTTGTGCTTCCAATATTTGCCTGGTAGTTTTTCAATGCTTCTCATGCCCTTTCAATACCCGTCTATTTTGTGTACAAATACCTAGTTTGTCTCAAGGAAAAGCTGGTCTTATGTAAGATTAAACAACATTTTTCTGCTGCATTGTAATCATACATGGTTGATATGGACCATGTTTCTGGATATTATTGGTGTTAAATAGGTGATGCAGCAAAGCTTCATAGATGTACTTATTTGTTGGCGAGGACAAAGTATGAAGAGCAGACTGAAGAAGATATGGAAATTAATACCATTATGCATTATCTGGACTGTGTGGCTCAAAAGGAACAAAAGATGCTTTGAAGCAACAGAAGAGTTGAATGCTTTGTTAAAGTTTAGATGATTTTAGAATATGTTTTGTCGGCTTAGAGGATTCTGTCATTAGCATTTCTGGTTTCATGGACCTGCTGGAGTCTGTATAGCTGCTGTTTAAGTCTGGATCCCTTGTAAACTCTTTGGTACATTCTTGGTACTATTTTTTAAAAATAAAGTAGTATACCTTATAAATAAATGAAAAACAGCAATTTGATATCTTTTAAACAACAACAACGACGACGACAACCCAGTATAGTCCCACAAGTGGGGTCTGGGGAGGGTAGTGTGTACGCAGACCTTACCTCTACCCCGATGGGGTAGAGAGGCTGTTTCCGAAAGACCTTCGGCTCAAGCAGACGAAAAGAGACAATATATCAGTACCATCAATAAAAACCTGTAAATAATCACGACATTGCAATAACCAGTGAATAAATGGAAAGCAGAAATAATAACCAGTAAATAACGGAAGAATAGTGAAAACACAACACTGGCCACTAGCAGTCTAAGATTAAATCCTATCAGCCTAGCCTCACACTGGTAGACTAAATGAACTCAACTACCTCCTAACCTACAACCTTGACCTGCACAACTTCCTATCGAGTGCCATGTCCTCGGAGATCTGAAGCTTCGCCATATACCGCCTGATCACCTCTCTCCAATACTTCTTAGGCCACGCTCTACCTCTCCTCGTACCCACCAATGCCAACCGCTCGCACCTCCTTACCGGGGCATCCAAGCTCCTCCTCTGAACGTGCCCGAACCATCTGAGCCTCGCTTCCCGTATCTTGTCGTCAATGGGAGCCACGCCCACCTTCTCCCGAATATCTTCATTCCTAATCTTATCCATCCTAGCGTGCCCGCACATCCATCTCAACATCCTCATTTCTACTACTCTCATCTTCTGGATATGTGAGTTCTTAACTGGCCAACACTCAGCCCCATACATCATGGCCGGCCTAACCAACGCTCTATAAAACTTACCTTTGAGTAGCGGAGGCACTTTCTTGTCACACAAGACTCCAGATGCTAACCTCCATTTCATCCACCCCACCCCAATACGGTGTGTGATATCCTTGTCGATCTCCACACCCCCCTGGATAATCGACCCAAGGTACTTGAAACTGCCTCTCTTGGGAATGACCTGCGATCCAAGCCTGACGTCCATGCCCGCTTCCCTCGGCTCGACACTGAACTTACACTCAAGATACTCCGTCTTCGTCCTGCTCAACTTGAAATTGTTAGACTCAAGGGCTTGTCTCCAAACCTCCAGCCTCTCGTTAATGCCACTCCGCGTTTCGTCAATCAGAACAATGTCATCAGCGAATAACATACACCATGGCATTTCTCCTTGAACATGGTGTGTCAGTGCGTCCATCACCAGAGCAAACAAGAAAGGGCTGAGCGCAGATCCTTGGTGTAACCCCATAACAACCGGAAAATGCTCAGAGTCGCCTCCCATTGTCCTAATCCGAGTCTTAGCTCCATCATACATGTCCTTAATCGCCCTAATGTAAGCAACCAGCACACCTTTAGCCTCTAGGCACCTCCAAAGAACCTCCATAGGAACCTTGTCATATGCTTTCTCCAAATCAATAAACACCATGTGCAAATCCTTCTTCCTATCCCTGTACTATTCCACCAACCTCCTAATAAGGTGGATAGCTTCCGTAGTAGAACGACTCGGCATGAACCCGAACTGGTTATCTGATACAAACACCGTCCTCCTCACCCTCGCTTCTACTACCCTATCCCAAACTTTCATGGTATGACTCAATAATTTGATACCCCTATAGTTGTTGCAACTCTGGATGTCACCTTTGTTCTTGTACAACGGAACCACCGTACTCCACCTCCACTCGTCTGGCATCCTCTTCGTCCTGAAAATAACATTAAATAACCCAGTCAACCACTCCAAGCCCGCTCTACCCACACACCTTCGAAATTTGACCGGAATCTCATCAGGCCCGGTAGCTCTGCCCCTGCTCATCTTACACATACCCCCCACGACCTCCCCAACCTTGATGCGCCTACAATACCCAAAATCGCGGAGGCTCTCGGAATGCCCCAACTCACCTAGCACAATATCCTGATCCCCGTCTTCATTCAAAAGTTTTTGAAAGTAAGTCTGTCATCTCCGCTTAATCTAGGCCTCTACCATCAATACACTACCATCCTCATTTTTGATGTACCTCACTTGGTCCAGATCCTGGGCCTTCCTCTCTCTCGCCTTGGCCAACTGAAATAATTTCTTCTCCCCGCCTTTGGCTAGCCGGAATAATTTCTTCTCCCCGCCTTTGACCCCTAGTTCCTCGTACAGACGACTAAAAGCCGCAGTCTTAGCCTCCATGACCGCCAGTTTCGCCTTCTTCCTAGCTACCTTATACCTTTCCCTGTTCGCACTCCTCTCTACCTCGCATGTACTCCCAACTAGCTTTAAGTACGACGCCTTCTTCGCTTCCACTTTACCTTGAACTACTTCATTCCATCACCAGTCGCCTTTGTGCCCACCAGCGTAACCCTTCGAGACTCCCAATACCTCTCTCGCTGCCTCCCGTATATAATCCGCCGTCGTCGACCACATAATGCTCGCGTTCCCACTGCTCCTCCAGACTCTCACAGCCGATAACCTACCTTCCAACTCCTGAGCTTTATCCTTAGTCAAGGTTCCCCACCTGATCCTCGGTTGAACTCGTGCAGTCTTCCTATTCCTCTTCATCATAATACCGACGTCCATCACCAAGAGCCTATGTTGCGTCGCAAGGGTCTTACCCGGGATAACCTTGCAATCCTGACACAACCCTCTGTTGTACCTCCTTAGGAGAAGATAGTCAATCTGAGTCTTCGCCACCGTACTCTGAAAAGTAACCAAATGGTCCTCCCTCTTTGGAAATTTAGAGTTAGCAATCACCAGCTCAAATGCCTTTGCGAAATCCAGCAACGAAGTACCTCCTGCGTTCCTATCCCCAAAACCGAAGCCACCATGCACCTCGCCATAGTCGCCTGCAGTCGACCCAATATGACCATTGAAATCCCCTTCTATAAATAACCTCTCTACAGGCGGAATACTATGCACAATCTCATCCAACCCCTCCCAGAAGCGCCTCTTAACCTCCTCATCCAAGCCCGCTTGCGGCGTATACACACTCACGACATTTAGGGTACTCTCTCTAACCACCAACTTAATAGACATTAACCTATCATTCACCTGCCTAACCTCTACCACAGACTCTCTAAGTTCCCTATCCACCAGAATGCCTACACCATTCTTACCCTTCAGGACTCCAGAGTACCATAACTTGTACTCGTCTGCATTCCTCACCCTCGATCCTACCCACCGAGTCTCTTGGACACACGCTATATTGACCTTCCTCTTCTTCAGGATCTTTGCCAGCTCTATAGACTTACCCGTCAATGTACCTATGTTCCGGGACCCAATTTTCAACCTATAGGCACCCTTGTTCCCCTTACCTCCCCTGCCTCCCATCCCATCCCCTAACCCCTGCCCCACCCCGCCCTGCCT